AGCTTATGCCCAAATAAATCTGTTAGTCTTTAAGGTGCCACCAGACTCCTTGTTGTTTTTGTAGATACAGACTAACACGGCTACCCCCTGATACTTTTCAATCAGACACCCACCCGGTCAAACAATCACACTATTCAAACAAACAAGCACAAGGTCAAACCAATGGTCACAGCAGACAGACACTCGAATATTCACAACACAGGCCCCCTAATGCAGCACTCACCTTAGCTCCTCTCCGAGGATTCACAGGCAAATTCCCTCTGTTTGCTTGTCCTCTGTACGGTGGTTCTTCGCACCGGCATGTGGTTAATAACTCAGAGCAACTGGCTATAAATAAACACCAGCAGGAGGTGGTGGATCTGGGCCGATATCTGAGATAAAAGCAGACCAAAAGCAGCCTGTGTTGTCTTTTCGCCTCATCCCCCCCTTGTTGCTTCCCCTTTCCAAGTGGGTTTGTCCATTGCATGGACACACTGGGTGACCTTGGGTAAGTCATTACCCCGCACCGTGCCTCAGTTTTCCCCTATGTAAAACGGAGAGACTGTTCCTCCCTTTGCCTGTTGCCATGACACTTTGGGGTCACAAACTGTCTCACTGTGTGTCTGTGCAGCACTGAGCGTGATGTGGCCCTGATCTCAGTCAGCTCTGGGCAGCACCCGGCACAGCAGGACCCTGATCTCGGTCAGCTCTGTGCAGCACCTGGCACAATGGGCGGCCTGATTTTGGTGGGCTCTGGGTGCCACCCGGTAAAATGGGCAGAGCCAGATTTCCGATTAGCCACAGGAGGCACGTGCCTAGGGACGCCGGCATTCTGTGGGGCGCATAAAAATTCAAATTTTGCCACTCCCAGGTCCCAGCAGGGGGCGGAGCCGGCTGAGGGGGAGACAGCCCCACACAGCCCTGCTGCGGGAGCGCTCCTTGCTCTGTACGGCAGACAGCGTCACCTCCCAGGGGGCCCAGTGAGTGCAGGCCGGGGGGCAGGGCTTGGGAGAGTGGGTCTCTGGGGGGAGTTCATGGGGCAGCTCTGGGCAGAGGGGGTGTGAGGTGCTGGACAGTTGTTGGAAGGGCGCTGGGCAGCAGGGCACATAAAAGTTAAAAGTGGTGGAGGTCCCCTGCCACCCAAGGTGGTTAAGAGCTTCTGAGCAGCAGGGGTACCCTGCAGTTCCCAGCTGCCTCCAGGCAGCGGGGGGCCCTGGAGCTCCAAGCTGGGGAGGGGGATGACTGCCGAGCCCCTGTGCCTAGGGGCACCCTAAGTATAAATCCAGCCCTGACAATGGTGGGTTCCTGGTCTTTATTCCTAATACACACAATAAAAGACCCAGTTGCCCTGGTCAAATGTCCAGATCTCAACTGGAATCAAGTAAATATATGAACAGGGATCCCAGCTGGGGCTGATTTCCCAGAACAGCAGGTTTCTAATTTTTAATTCCACCATCGTCAGGGCACTGACTGGCCCATTGGCCCAGGATTGGCAGGACGGGGGCGGCTGGGGGTGTGTACAGCTGAGTGGCAGTTACCATCTGCCCATGGTGCCTTACCCTGTCTCTGCCTTCCAGGGCTCTGCATCGCCCTGTGCCTGGGGGGCACCGTGGCCCAGAATAATGGCGTAGAAGGTAAGGTTGACTCCTCCTGGCTAACCTTCCCCAGGGCTCCCGGCTGCCTGGGGTCTCCGGCCTCCGCCCCCTCCAGTCCTTTTCCCTTGTGGGAGGAGAGCAGAGTAAGGGGTCTGGCGAGCCGGGAGCAGCCCCTTGGCGTGGGCGTCTTGGGGTGGGTTTATAGAGCACGGTGGGTGCGTGCAGGGGAGAGGAGAAGCCCCTGTGTAGCCCTCCCCTTCTCTTCCCTGCCCCGTGGCCAGCAGAGAATAGACACTGAGGCCAGGGGTCTACACTGGGGGCTGGAGTGAGGGGCAGATCCCCTTTGTAACCAAGGGCTGTGTTATCGACCAGCCCGAATCAAACCCCTGATGTTAGATGTCAGATGTTAGAAGTGGCATTTGTAGGTGCCCCCGCCCTCTAAAATCGGGCTGAACTGAAACCTGGGACCCACGTGCCCAGCTGGGGGGCGTTTGGGATCAGGACTCTGCGCCCCGAGCCCAGCTCTGCTGCGAATCCCAAGATGGGATTTGGGCAAATTCCAATTGACCCACTGGGGTACCCCAGTGCTGCACCCACCCTGCTCCTTCTGCTCCGATCCCAAGCCCTGCAGCCGGCTAAGCTGCGCTGGGATCCTTCCCCTCACGCTGGCCAGAGGGTCGGATCCCAGCGGAGCCCCAGACACCGGGCAGCTAAAGGATCCAGGAGCCCCCGTAGGCAGGTCACAATCTGGGTCATGGGAGGCAGCACAGACCCAAACTAGCCTCGCGCCCGACTCCGCTCTCAGTCAATCCAGAGCAGAGCCGGGCAGGAATTTCCCAAGGAACCATTTTTTGCCAGAAGATGTCAATTCGGTTCTGAGGAATGTTTGGTTTCACTCAGGAAAAAAGTGCGCGAGGCAGGGGGAGATGAAATAATTTTCAAAATGAAAAATTCCTGTTTTCCTGTTGAAAGTGAGGTTTCGATTTGAAATTGACACTAATGAGCGTAAGGACGACAGCAACAAAAAGGAGAAAAATTGGGTGAGATCGAAAATGTTTCACTTGAACCGACGCCCGGCTCCGGCGGCTCTGCCTGTCTGTGCCGGGGGCTCCCCGGGGAGCCAAGGCCCCTGTGCAGCCGAGGGCAGCTTGTTGCCAGGTGGTGGATGGCGTCGGAGCTGTTTGCCAGGCGCCCAGGGACGAAAATCAGCGAATGGGACGTGTGAAAGGAGTCGATCCCAGTGTGGGTGGGTCGGGGGAGCCGCTCTGCACTGGCTGACCCTGCCCAGCTGTTCCTGCCCCTACAGGTACCACTGAGGACTGTAACAACCATGTGCTGTGCCCAGCAAACGCCAAGTGTGTGAACAACACTCACTGCACCTGCCTGGATGGATACCAGCCACATGGGAATCGCTTCTTCACCGACCCAACGGAGCCCTGTGACGGTAACGGGGCTCCCACATTGTCCGGGGGGCGGCTGGGACAGAGCAGGTCATTAAGGGCCAGAGCAGCCAACTCCACTGACTGCAGGGCCTGTTGGGGGGGCTCAGCCCGGCTGGGGAATGAGGGGGGGGCAGCAGCACGGGTGAGCGCCGCCCTCCTGGGGATCGAACCGGGGCCTCCAGAGTGAGCAGCAGGAGCGGCTGCAGCAGGAGCCCTGGTTATACTCCCCTCCCCCCCCCCAGGTATCCAAGGAGGGAGGGGGCAGAGGAGAGGCAGTTTGTCACCCCCCCCAACACACCGGGAGCCTGGAGCCCCAGGGGGACCTATCCCCACCCTCTCCTCACATAGGGGATCTGGGTGTTTGTGAGTTGAATCCCCCCGTACCTGGGACAAGAGGCTTGGGGGGCTGTTTCCGACATTCCAGCAGCAGAAATGGGTAACTGAGAATCAGGCTCTTAATCACTAACCGCTCAGGGCCCTGGTCACCTGCATCCCGTCACCCAGCTCAGTGCGGGGAGTTGAGCGGGAGCATTGATACCGGGAATGTCTTCCTGCCAGGACTGTACAGAGCGTCCCCTCTCACATTACAGATATTAACGAGTGTCAGGGCCCGAGCCCGGCAGACTGCGGACGCAACGCAAACTGCACCAACGTGGCTGGGAGTTACCGCTTCATCTGCGGCGATGGCTCCGAGTCCAGCTCTGGGAAAGCCAACTTCATGCACGCGAGTGAGAACACCTGCCAGGGTGAGATTTCCCCTGGCCCCCACCTGCTGAAACCCCCCACGCACACACACCCAAATGCTCGTTCCAGGCCTGGCGCTGCACCGGGCTGCTGCTGGCTTTGGCCCCGGCCTGGG